ATCTACCGCGCTATTTTTAACTTATAGCCAAACATATACATTTACCGTCATTATATATTCAAGTTATGTATGAACTCTACCAAATTTAATATCATCATATATTCAACATACGTAAGAAAAATGAAAAAGATATGTGTGAACTCTACAATTATTATGTAAATGCATGCTTATTGGAGGATGGGCTCATGAACATTGGAATTGTTTCGCACATGGTTGTTGGTTGCCCTTGTTGAAAGCCCATCAATTAGAAGAGAATACATCTATGCTCTCTATTCTTTACAGAACTTCAACCCTCTAAATAATTTGAAACCACAATTCTTGATTTTGAATTGAACAAACTTTCAATGCTTTGACGTAAAGAGAAATCATAGATTATATATTAAACATCCATACATGAGTTTCCACAAAAACGTACACATTTTCTTGATGATGAACTTGTAGTCTAATAATATAGTTCATAAGAGCAGATTAATTAATCATTATTAGGTGACTTGAAGCGAGATACGAACCCACATCAACTACAACAAACTATCTGGAAACTTGGTTCCAATCGTTCCTCATCGTGACTCTACAACAACATCAATATTAGCTGTGCTGTCTTGTTGAAAATCGCTTTTTGAATTAATCAGTCATATTATAATTCTTCAAGTTTGATTTGATCTACACTTTTGGTCAACAAATATAGATCTAAGTCTAAAACCGTTCTAGGCCTTATAATTTTCAGTCTTTTTTTATTAGGGACAAACTTTCACCTCAAAATTTTAAAATGATTTGAGTAATATAAATATGACCAATCCCTTATAATCAATTAATTCTTGATTCAAAACCATCTAATTCTATATCTATGTAAACTAATGTTTTTATTAAAAAATAATTGATTTATAGTTTAATTAATTTCATTGAAATTAGTATTATTGTGGTAAATGGCTCTAATAAACTCGACTACAGAAACAAAAAGAATAATGAAGAGCATTAGATACCAAAATACATTAAATTAAATATTTGAATTAATTATTCATGTAATAGATGTTTATTTGCCATAGTCAATAAAATCTTATAGCATTTTAGATATTTATTTGAGATTTAGTTCGAGTTTGGTAAAAATATTTTTCTAGAATTTTGAATTTTTGAATCTTTTTAGATATCTATTCGAATTCGGATTTGGATAAAATTCTTAATCCGAAACAAGTCTCATTTGTTATTTATGTTAGATTCGATTTGATTCGGATTTTATCGAACCAGATTTAGTTTAGAATTTTCAGATTCGGATTATTTGTCCATTCCTATTTGTAAAGAAAAAGATTAGAGGTCAGAGTTATTTTACAACGACAATATGTTAAAAACATAGTTTGTAAAAGGAAAAATGAAATTGATTTGGTAATTTTAAATTACTGCCAAAAAAAAAAAACATCTCTGTTTCGAGCTCAGGATCCCATCGGAGTTCCCAGCAATCTCCTCATCAGATAATCGATTTGAGAGGAAAAAGATTCACAATTTCATTTCTCCGCAGAGGCTAAAAGGATCATCATGGCTATGGTGGATGTTCACCGGTTCGCAGAGTCAATCACTTGCCACGCTTGGAGCCCTGATCACTCCAGTAAAGTTTCCTACCACCATGCTCTTTGTTTCTTTTACTGATTGGCCTTTGGGAATATGAGAAAAGAGTAATGTGTTTAACAGAATCTGAAGATATAAGAGGGAAATGATATGACTTTTTGCTATTAGAATATATATCTTAGGAGTTTCTTGAACAGATGCAGTGTCTTGTATATGGTTTAAACATCCTGTGGCTACTTTTGTGCTGTAACATTTGTTTTTGTTTTTCTTTTTGTAGTGGTTGCGTTTTGTCCTAACAATAATGAAGTTCATATCTATAAATCATCACAAGACCAGTGGGAGAGGCTACATGTCCTTGAAAAGGTGAACCTTTCTGTCTCCTTGGAAATTCTTGTAGCTATATTTATCCTTATTTTACTGATCTTTTTGTCACTGGAAAGTTTTTTTTTTTTGTTATCTCCCTTTCAAATAATTTCAGGATTTTTTTTTTTTTGTTTGAACCGTTGCAGCATGACCAGATTGTTTCTGGGATAGATTGGAGCTCAAAGTCGAACAAAATCGTCACTGTTTCCCATGACAGGAACTCGTAAGTTGCAACCTTTGATATGCTTTAAGGAAGTTTGTTCATTTGAGTCACTTCCTGCTGTGAGAAACTTCAAACCTTTTTTCGTTATGTGAATTTGGAATTTTTGAAGGTACGTCTGGAGTCTGGAAGGAGGTGAATGGGTACCAACTCTTGTTATCCTCAGATTAAATCGTGCTGCACTTTGTGTCCAATGGAGTCCAAAAGGTAAAGCGTATCAGATCCCAAAGTTACCAGTTATTTAGATTCATTTTGTTAAGGAATATTTAATTTTCTTATAACTTCTGCAGCTTCTAATGTAATTTCCCATCGTTTTGTTCAATACCTTTAGAGAACAAGTTTGCTGTTGGAAGTGGTGCTAAAACTGTTTGTATATGCTATTATGAGCAAGAGAATAACTGGTAATTCTTGGATTTCTCCCTATATTCTCATTATTAATTTTTGGATTTTTCTGTGGCATGTCGCCTCACTTTTTGCAATGAATGGTGTTGATATGCAATTTGTGCTATCTACATAAATGTGTATTGTTTGTTCAAAAAAAACATAAATGTGTATTGTATAAAGGTTTTGGAACCATCTGATAAACCTGCAGTTATTGCCAAGTATATAATTAATTCATGTAAAGTTGTATTTTGGTAGGCTGACATTGCTTGGTTTTACTTTTCTCAGGTGGGTCAGTAAACTTATCCGGAAACGGCATGAGTCTTCAGTCACAAATGTTGCTTGGCATCCTAATAATGTGCGTACAATCAACAAACCTCGTGCACTTCAGTAGCTAAAATACTAATTCAGGCTCTCTATAGATGCTTTATCTACCGAAATTATTCTTTTAGTTAGCCACTAAATAGAGTACGTGATCCCTAAAGCAGAATATCAATCTCCACAAACTAGCTATATTTCTAAGTCATGGTTAGTAGTAGTTTTTCCGATGTTATTCTCTCTGATTTTCTGTTTTGCATTAGATTCTTCTGGCAACGACATCTACAGATGGAAAATGTCGGGTATTTTCAACATTCATCAAAGGAATTGACACAAAGTAAGCTCATTACTTGAACATCTATTTTAAAACCATTTTTGCAAATGCATACCAGTTTCTTATGTCTTCACTGACTGGGCTGATACAGGGATTCAAAAGCAGGCTCACCAGCGGAATCTAAATTTGGGGAGGTTTGTTTTCTTTCGCAGGCTTCCTTGTTTTAGTAATTTACTTGTGCTTTTGTCATATATATGTTTCTCTCCACCCTCTCATTTAATACTAGGGAGCTTATTTTTTTGCTGTCTTTGATGAAACAGCAAATTCTTCAGCTTGATCTTTCATATTCCTGGGCTTCTGGTGTGAAATGGTCCCCAAGTGGAAACACCTTAGCTTATGTAGGTCAGAACATCCTTAACACTTGAGATGTGTCCCCATTGCAATCTACTGGAATTATACAATGGAACGTCGACTTAGTTAACATGATTTTAGCAACACGCTGTCTCACTTCCTATGTATCTGTAATCTTTGTGTAGGTCACAGCTCCATGATTTACTTTGTTGATGATGTTGGTCCTTCTCCTTTAGCCCAAAGCGTTGCATTTCGAGATTTGCCTCTTCGTGATGTGGGTCAGCATCCACGCTTATTTTACATTTGAGAACCTAGACTTCTCCATGTGGGATGCCCTGAATTGATATATTTTCTGGAACTTTCTATTTCAGGTCCTCTTTATTTCTGAGAAAATGGTGATAGGCGTTGGTTATGACAGCAACCCAATGGTATTTGCTGCAGATGATACTGGAATATGGTGTGTAGCTTTCATAAACATATGCTTACTTGTCTCCTCTTCTTAGCTGTTGCGTACAAGTGAATCTTTTACTTATAATCCTCACCGATATATGATTTGGTTACAAGCTTTTTGGTTTTGGTCTGTAGGAGCTTCATCAGATACATCGGAGAGAAGAAAGCGGAATCCTCAGGTGCCAGTTATAGTTCGCAGGTACATACCAAATATATATGTCTGGTTTTAGCCCCTAAAGTATATAATATGAATGCAACTTTAGCTTATTCCTGAAGTTTTCCTAAAACATAAGATCGTTCGCTTAAAACTGTGGCATTATCTGTTATGTTTTGCCTAACCCGTGTGTCCATTGTGTTATGTTTTTAGTTTTCCGAAGCATTTACGAAATTCTACGGTCAGTCAAAGGCTACAACAGCCAATGAAGCTTCTGAGTCCTCTAAATCACGTGGAGGCGTCCATGATAACTGCATAAAGTAAATAATAGTACTGTTGTCTTAACCGAACTCTGATTTTATAAATCTCCTGCAAGGCAGTGTCTCTTTTGACTCTTGTATTCCATCGTCTGTTAGAGCCTGACCAGTAATATTTTCCTGACTCTTGCAGTTCCATTGTACCGCATAGCAAAGCTGGGAGTCCTAAAGTAATGCGATTCAGCACTTCAGGTCAGTCATTAGTTTAAGTCCTTCTTGCAATCAGCTGATTCATTTCATTCACTTGCTTGTGCATCGGTTTGTTACTTGCAGGATTGGATGGCAAAATTGCTACATGGAATCTAGAGAACATGCAAGAAGAACTTGGCCATCAGTTTCAGTAAACACACAAATAAAACAAATCTGGATCAAAAGTAAGGTTTTACTTAATTTGTGTATCCGATTTTTTTCCCCCAGATTTGTAAGCATTGACAATTTCGTAATTGTTTCATTTTGTAAACTACAACAATAAAGTTTGGAATTGGATCCTCAGATCATTCTCTCGTATTATAACAGACAAGTAAAGTTTGGAACTGGATCTTCAGATCATTCTCACTTATTGCGAACTTAACTACTGTTCTGTCCTAAGCAACTCCCAGAAGCAGAGAAAGTCTATCAGATATCTCCAAGATCATTCTTTTTCGTTCCATAAGCGATGAAGTTCACACTTGTGTCATCTGACAGTAACCATCTTCCTGTTATCGGATTGTACACAAATCCAGCCATCTCCTTCACCTGCAAACCATACTTTCGTGTTTATGAATCCCCTAAAGATAAACAGATGAACAGTTCTTGTCCGCATCAAGTAGTGGACTTTTAATCTCTTTTTCAGTCAGCTTAAGATAAAGTTATTGAAACTGCCATAGGTGTTACTGAAGGGGGAAGGAAGTTGGCCTACATCGATTGAAGCGCGTTGTAATATCATAGTAAGTTCTTCAGGAGTTAAAAAACTTGACCACTCGTGTGTGCCTTTAGGAAGCTGCAGGTGATTTGATCATACAAGGACCAAATGTAAAAAACCAACAACACATGTCAGGGAAATGGTGTAAACAGAGGATAAATGAGATGTGAAACTGAAGATTACCCATTGTAGAATGTACTCAGCTGCAACAATGGCTGATGCATATGCTCGCATAGAGCGGTTAATTGTAGAAAGTATTGTGGCTCCGTTGGGAATGGTCAATGCTGACAACGACTTGCAGAACTCTGCAGGGTTCGCTACATGCTCAATGACCTTACATTGTAGAAATCAGAAAATTTGCCCATGAAAATGAAACTGGAAGCACTGAATAATGGAACCAGTATAAAACATCAGAGGAAGTTTAACAAAACCTCCAAGGCAAGAACAGCATCAAACGTCCTCCCCTCATCCACTAGCTTTTCTGCGCAAGAGTACACTATATTAACACGTAGACATACGAGAGAAAACACAAGAATCTGACATGTAGAAAATTCAATGAAACTTAAACTGTTAATCTTCTAAGATAATAGGGTAATGTACCTGCTGTAGTACATTGGTATTCAATCGTTGAAGTCACTGGATCCATATCCTACACAGACAAGAAACAATAAAAGTCAAGATAGAGATGAACTGCACCTTGAAGGTATTCAGGAAAAAAACTACATCATTCATATGGAAGACATGAAGTTAATCAATTATACAACCAAGAAAGAGACCTTACAGCATGAACACGAGCAATTTTAACATTCTTATCAACAGCATCAATTCCTGTAACAGTTGCTCCCATCCGTGCTAGAGGCTTTAAACCCAAAAACAAAAACAAAAAACAAACCACTAGTCACCAAATCTTTATATCTAACCACAAACGCTCAACTTAAAACTGGTTTCCTGAAATAGAATACCTCGGAAAGTAATCCACCGCCACAGCCTACATCAATAACTCTCAGACCTTCAAAAGGCCTAGCGGAACTCGGATCCTTACTGAGAAGAACACAAAGTTAAACCCAACAGAGAAGAAGGATAACAACAAAAAAGAAAGCATACACAAGAAGCTTCCACCTGAAGTGCCTGCATAAGGTGGAGCGGATGAAAGCCAAACGAGTTGGATTCATCAAATGCAACGGCTTAAATGGTCCTTCAGAATGCCACCTTCATACAAAAGCACTCAAAAACTCAAAGCTTTGAACTTTTTTAAAAAGAATCACTGAGCCAAGCAAATCATGCAAAACCCTTAAAAGCTCAAAGCTTTGATCTTTTTAAAGAGAACCCATCAACACTTCACTGAGTCAAGCAAGTAAATGATCAAAAGCTTGAAGACGAACCAAGTATCAGCAATGGCGGAGAATTTGGCGAGTTCGTGTTCATTGAGAGAAGAAGTTGTCGACGCTGTGCTTTTGTTGGAAGCTCTGCCTTCGAAAGTTTGGATCTTTTGATGCGTAGAGGGCAATGATGGCGAAGAAGCATCGGTTTCTGAGGTTGAGAACCACCGCCGGTGAAGGAAACACGACGGAGGTAGGAGTGAAGGAGGTAATAACCGACGAGCAGAGAGAAGCCTTTGCATTTGATTCATTGTAGCAAACGGCGGTGGTTGACGTCGGGTTTTGCCCGCCGACGGAGAAAAACGAGGGAGAGTGAAAAGGGAAGGGGTAAAATTGGAATTTTACGTAAATGTGGTGAGTGATGTGTATATATGGGCTCTACTCTGAGCTCGCCCATTTAATGTGCCTTTTAAGTGGATGTATCTAAACTATAGATGGGCCTATATTAGTGGAAATATTGTACTCCCTCCGTTTCAGAATATATGTCATTCTAGGCTTATTTTTTCGTCACAAATTAAGTGTCGTTTTAGAGTTTCGAGGCAAAATTATTAGTTTTATATAATATTCTATTTTTATATTGGTTGAAAAATGGTTAGGTGTATAGGTAATTGTGTTTTTATCTTGGAAATATGTAAAATTAAATATTTCCTTAATATGTGTGAAAAACCTAAAATGACAACTAAAGTGAAACGGAGGGAGTAATGTTTTTCAGATGTACATGGTAATAAGAGAAGAGAGTTATTTTTTTTCAGCAACTAGAAGAAAATTCTAAAAAAAGAGGATTATAAAAATTATTTATGAAATTAGACTAGTATCATAACATTAAAATCAACTTTCATCCACAATTAATCACAAAATTGATAAATTGACAGAAAATTGCAACAAAAAGTTACACGGTCTTCAAAGTTCAATAAAATTCTTTTTTTGAGTAACTAGAAGAAAATTCTAAAAAAACAAAAAAAAAAACAAATAGGATTATAAAACGGATTATATATGAAACTAGATTAGGTATCGTAACATTAAAATTGTGTACCTCTTTTAAAGCAATTCAAAAAAGAAAAAAAAAACATTTGAAATTAGAAGTTGGTGTGACGAAATAAATGTTAAGATCGCACAGAATTCAAAAGATTAGTTGGGTTTGGATATGTTGGAATCAGTTGTTTTCATCTATAGTTGTAGTTTTCAAACAAAGGTCCCACGATCCAATAAGAAATCTCATTCCCATAATAAATTCGCATCACCTTTTTGGTGTAATAAATTCACATCATTATAACTGATAATATATGTAAGTGTGTACTATACCACAGATTCACATCGACTTTTTAAAGTACACAAATTCACAAATTATGAAAACAAAGATGTAAACATAACAGTTAAGTTTATACAAAACCGTTAGTACACTTGTTTTAATTTAGTAAAGGCATTCAAATTGACCTTTAGCTTGGTCCGAAGACGGTTGAATGTAAAGAATCGGATCGTCAAATTTGTGATTTTAGGGAACATGATGTGACTTTTAGTAAAACTTAAATCCATATGGTCTAACTTCTAAGTGAAAGTTATAGAAGTAACAGGTTTAATTTAAATTCTCAAGTCTTCTACAAAATAATATTCTTATCCGAAATGTTATACTTTATTTTTCTCTCTTTTCAATTGAAACCTAAATTATATATAACCTTTATTGATTTTATTTTACTACAGTTATAGGCACAATAAATTATAAAATTTATTTTTTTTTTTTCTTTAACACTGAATCGAGAATGTCATGGGATACAAGATAGACTCAAAAAAGAAAAAAAGACAAAGACAAAAGATGCCAGTAGACACCATAGACAATATCAATCAAACTCACCCAACTTACTAAAATGCCGAGACATCCAAACAAAGACGGTGGAAAGAGACAAACCAAGTAAACTCAGCAGCGGTAGTGAA